ATTATCTGCGTGTGATTTTCTTAGCTCTAGTGCATTTATGTATTGGCTCTGCAACTAGAAAGACAGATCTCTGGAATTCGTGGGGGGTGTATTTTCGTGGTATTTTTTCACACCTTACAAAATGCCTTTTCTGATCTAATCCATAAGAGCAGAACATCTGGCAGCTGTCCATGTCAGTGGCGTTGAGGAAGTTCTCCCTGAGGAAGTGCCTTCTGTAGCTAGGATTTAGTCTGTGTGGGAAGCTGCCGTGGTGGGCTTCAGTCCTTTTACTTGGGTACTGGGAATCAGACTCAAGGCCTCACCCCTGCCACGCAGGCCCTGTGCCGCTGAGCTAAATCCCAGGCCATCACCTTCCTTTTCATTGTGTAAAAGCAGCTGCGTCTTTCCCCTCAGAGTGCTGTGTGCACTTGCTCACAGTGCGCGAAACAAACTGAATTGGCCCGAGGAGCAGCGCACGCTCCCACGACAGGAGAAACTTCCCGTCGTAACAGAGGGGAAGTTGCTGTGTGCTAAGGAGTGGTCCAAACAGTGCAGCCGAGAGGCCGTCGGGAAGGGACTTTGTGACAGCTCATGTGGACCTTGAAGAAAGGAGAAAGGGTTGGGAGGAAAGGCAGGATAGAGCAGAGAGGAGGCCACAGCTGATTCGTGTAAGAGCAAAGCCCACGGGCCCTGGGCGTGACTTTCCTGCTATAGAAGAGTGTCCTTTTATAGGAGTGTTGAAACAGTACTCTGAGAGCTGAGTGTGGTGGGGCACACTTGTGATCTCAGCCCTTAGGAGGCTGAGGCGGGAGTATTGCCATGAGTTTAAGGCCAGCCTGGGCAGTGAGATCCTGTCTCAAAAGACAAAAAAATTAAAATAAAAAAATAATAAACTGCAGCAGTAAATGTATTTTTAAACCAAAAAGAATGTGACTTGGCTGACTTCATAGGAAGGAGAACTTTCAGAGCAGCCAGAAAAAACAAATGTGGACTGTAGATATCTGTACCAGTCAGTGAATGAATGGACTAGTTACAGGCTGAGGAAATCAGCTGTCTTTACTGTGATCTGTATGACAGCTCTAGATGGTGTGTGTGTGTGCGTGTGTCCTTTGTGTATGCATGTCTGTGACATTGGGAGACCCAGAGACACTGGCTACTGTTATATCTGTCACTCTTTTTATTTTTTATTTTGAGATAGGGTGTTACTAGGTTACCCAGGCTGTCCATGAGATTGGAATCCTCCTGCCTTGCTCGTATATATATTTTAAAACCTTGCTCTCTGTTCAGTCAGGTTTGCATTAAGGTCCCAGTAATTTTATTTGCTGAGTACTGTCTTGTGTTTTCCTGTACCAGTTAGAAATGACACAAGGATTAGCATTTTCACCCTCATGGAGACAGATACTCTTTGTGGGGGCGGTGTTTCTTGCTGAGTTGTCCAGGCTGTCCTCAAACTTATGATCCTCCTGCCTCAGCCTCCTGAGTGCTGGGATTACAGGAGTGCACCCCCATTCCAGCTGCAGATACTTCGGGAGTTGTGATGGCAGCAGCTCACTGTGCTGTGTCCTCCCTGGGAGCCCAGTGGAGGGGGCTGGTTGGGTCAAGCTTGTGGTGGTGTCGGGTTTCAGACATGCTTCCTCTTGCAGGTGCTGGTGTTTATTTAACCTCCCATGATTCAACTGGGCATGTTTTTGTACTTGGAGGTAGCAAAACTTCCTGGGATTTGGGTTTTGCCCCTTTGTATTTCGTATTTCCGGGTTTCTGTATTTCATGCTGGGGTATTGTGGTCTTTCTCTCAAATTTAGCCTAAGTACCGCCAAGCCCTAAACATGGTACCTGTGGCTGGACGTGCTGGGGACCAGGGAGCTGACGCACAGCGGGGTTCGGTGTGTGCGGAACCGCTCACTCCCCTTTTGGTGTCCGTGTTAAACGAGGTGGTTTGTGGAGGGAATTCGCAGCTCAGTCAGTTTCTCAGAGTGAGATGCTAGAATGAGACACGTGGCTGCATGCTTACCAAAAGCATGCCAGGATGTTACAGTGCGCCGGTCTGCACTCGCACCAGCAGTGGAGAGGGGCCTTCTCGCCACAGCCCCGCCAGCATTTGTTTTTGGTTGATGTCTTGATGACAGCCATTCTTTCTGGGGTGGGATGGAAGCTCAGTGTTGTTTTAATTTGCATTTCTTGAATGACCAGTGATGTTGAACATTTTTTCATATATTTTCTTAATCTGGGAAGTGTGAATTCATTTCAGATGCCCATTTTTTTATTGGGTCTTTGACTTGGGGTGCCTGTTTTTTTTTTAATTCTTTATATGTTCTAGCTTGAAGTCCTTTGCCTGAGGGGCAGTTGGCTAAAATTTTTTCCCAATGTGTGGGTTTTCTTGTTACTCTGTTGGTGACTTCTTTGGATGTGCAAAAGCTTTTTAATAAGATGAAACCCAGTTGATTCTTTGAAGTATTTCCCGTGCAGTTGGGTTTTTGTTCATGAACTCTCTGCCTACCCCTGTGTCTTCAAGATTTCTGCCTACTTTCTCTCCCAGTAGATTTAGTGTTTCTGTTTTAACATTTTTGTCAGGTATGTCCTGAGGTCAGATCGCAAAGTGCTGTTAGAATTTTGCTCTTACAGCGTGATATTAAACGTTCACGTGTAGCGTATGCGCATACGTGTCTGCAGCCTGGTTGTGTTTTCGGTCTGCTTGTCCCTAGCTCTCTCCTGAGTGTGTCGCTGGTTCCCGGTGGCCGGGTGCGCGCCTTTGCACTTCGCCTGTGTGGCCGTCACTGGTGCGCAGCAGGCGCTCGCCGGTGGCCTGTTTGACAGATGCGTTCACGGTAGCACTGCCCGTCCAGACCAGCTGTGCTCCGGATCGCTCCCTGCCCTGGGATGTGGCCAGCAGCCCCCCGTCCCCCCTTCTGCTGCTGAGACTGAGCCGTGAGCACCGCGGCTGTCACAGTGACGGGGCTCCTTGGCGGCACTGGGTGGACAAGGACCTGGGCCGGATCAACAGCGCACAGCGCTCAGAACAGCACTTCAACAAGGACGCCAGCAGCGCCCTGGGTTCCTGGCTGCCGCGGCGCTGTGGAGCCGGTTCTCAGGCAGACGCCGTAGGGAAGGGCTGGGGCTTGCTACGTGCAAGGCACTGCTTGAAGAGCCTGGTGTGCATTAAACCATTGGATCGTCCTAATCTTAGGGGCAAATACTTTACTATTTTGCCCATTTTACAGATAGGTTAAATAACTTGCCCAAAGCCACATTGTTTGTAAGTGGGAAAGTTTCAAACCCTAGCTGTTTTAGGAAGACGTCAGCACAGAGCTGCTTTGCCAGCCCAAGTGATGCCTTTTTTCTACCTCAAAAGCACCCTCAGGCTTCGTACCTGATTATTATTCACCTGTGTGGCCCGTTGTTAAGTGGGTAAGAATTATCTATGAGGTGATAAGACCAGGATCTGAAACGTGTCGGAGGAAGGTAAATCTGTCCGTGGTGAGCAGCTTGTCCGGCAGTTATTCAGCCTGGTGGCCATGCTTTATTTCAGAAGTGACCCAGCACCAGGATTGGATGGCTGTCATGACCATGTGACCAAGGTGGGCGCCCGCTCTCACTTCACCCCCGCAGGCTGGGGCGCATTGCCCTCTGCAGGTGCAGGGGCAGGGAGGCGGTGGGGACGCAGCCCTGGGCGCCTGCTCTCTCAGTGTCACTGCTGGCTGCTGGCTGCTGGCCCCGGCCCACAGCCGGGTGGCCTCAGTTGTGATGTGAGAGCCAGGGGCTGGCTGCGTGAGTGCTCACCTGAGGCCGGGCCGGGAGTGCGTGTGCCTCGGTGTGCAAACCAGGGAAGAGAAGCCATCCTAAGTGGCTGAGGCTGACTTCCGTCTTTGCCCTGCAAATTAAAATGTTGGTGGTTATTTCTACAAGAAGAATGGCCAGGAAAGATGAAACGGTATGCCTCCTGACTTCAGTAATGAAAACTTTGGCAGTATGCACACGAAAAATGCTTTGCTACCCTGATTGTAAATCTTACTTTAAATGGAGCCAGGCGTGGTGGCACACGCCTCTAACCCCAGCACTAGGGAGACTGAGGCAGGAGGACTGTTGCAAGTTCAAAGCCAGCCTGGGCTACATGAGCAAGCTCAAGGCCAGCCTGAACTGCATAGTGCGACCCTGTCTCAAAAAGATAAATGAATGAACGAGTGAATGCATGGTGAGTAAGTGTAAGGAGCTGTAGAAAGTTAGAATGTGGAGGTAAATATCACTTCCAGCTCCAAGACATTTTATTAAGTGACAGTAAATACGTAATGTATATACTTCTATATGTAACTGTGCTTTTCTGAACTTTTTATACTGACCCTGTACTGACCCTACGATAAGAATACATTTTATGTCACACCTGAGTACATCATAAACATTGATAGAATAAAAACAAAAGGTTACAAAATACTCTTACTACTGGTGGAGCACTTTGGTCCTCATGACCAGTGAATTACTGTTCTTAATGTAACGTGCACTTGATCGTCTGCTGGTGTGTTGCCAACCCAGAATGAGAGAAGCACCCACTTCACGTGATGTTTTCGTGGTCAGAGGAGAGCACCTTTGGAAGTGTTGCCTGTGGTCTGTCCTGGCAGGAGCTGGGGCGTGGGCGGAGGGCAGGGAGGCACTGGGTTCCCCCTCCCCGTGTTTGTCGGCCGCAGTGCCACGTGAGGACGCCGCTCTTCCCGCTGGCGCCCGCCCCCCGGGCTCCCCCCGCGGCCTGTGTCTGCGGGGCTCAGACGCGGCCTCGCGGGAAGCGCTGTCGCGGGACTGAGAGAAGAGCAGGGCACCGGCTCGTCCGTGGAGAGAGCTCGGGCTCGTGTCCTCGCTGTAGGTTTCCAAGCTAGAACTGGCACAGAAGTCATGTTCAGGGACTGAAAAAGTTACTTTTAATGTGAAGAATTAAATATGTCTGTTGCATATTCTTTGAAAGAATTGCTAAGTCATAAAAATTCTGTATAAAAAGCATTGAGCGGAGACTAATCAGTGTCCTTCTTTCCTAACAGGTTTTAAGATGGAGCATTTCGATGCATCGCTCAGTTCCTACTTCAGGGCGTGGCTGGGCCCCCGAGGTGAGGCGCGCTGCTTAGGGTTAGGGTTATGTCGGTGGCTCTCTGCCTGTCCTTGGAGCCGCTTGGGAACACGACATGAAGCTTCCAGAAAGGGTTCTCGTTCTCCGTGACGCGACGGAGCTCACCCCGCTCGCAGCCCTGACAGTGAGGACAGCTGCAGTGGCCCTGGCCCCCTGCTGCTGCGGCGGCCCTTGCTGACGTCAGCTGGAGACCAAACCAGGCTGCAGAGCCTGAGCCGAGGACGCCTTAGCTGTACCATTGTCAAGGGCACGCTAGTAGCAAGACTTGGAACCTCTCCCCCTCCACAGCTCCTTGTTTGGCTGGCCTTGAACTCCTGGGCTCAAGCGCGTCGCCCTGCTGTGCGTCCTGGGATGGACCCGGGGCCTGTGCGTGCCGGGCAACTGCGGCGCCCCTGGCCACGTCCCGGCCCTGCAGGCCTTCTCTCTGTCCTTCAGTTCGCGCCCTGCCAGTGCGCACAGGTGTCCACCTGAGCTCAGTTGTATGTCTGTCTTTATTTTAGTCTTTTAGAAAGTGAATCAGCTCCATATTGTCATCTTTCAATGTCTTACCTAGAAAGAAGAAACATTTTAGGTTCACAGATTTACAGAATAGCCACATAGCCTTTAATGGACGAAAATAGTCTCACTTTCACTCATGATTTTTAAAACACAAAAGAAAACAAAAGGAGCTGTATCCACCAGTGCGGTAGAAAGGAATCGCGTTTGACACCATGGTGATAATTAGCAGGGAGGGGCCTGGGCGCTGCCAGGCCCGGCGCTAGTGCGGTGCTGCTCAGTGCACGCGCAGAGGACACTGGCACGGCTCTGCGCTGGCCAGCGCTGGGTGTGGCCTCGCGCCCTTCCATGGGGCCAGGATGAGTAAGTTAGGAACAGCTGATCGAAGTGACAAGTGAACCCCCGTGTGTCAGGTAGAGACGAGGCGTGTGAGCTGTGAGGGCAGAAAGCTCAGCTGCCACTGGCTAAAGCAGTGGTAAGATTGCCAGCTTCCGTCCCAAGGCGGGGCAGTCCTGCTTTGTCCCGGGCGTTCTGTGATGCGGACCAAGAAGCTTGCTCTTGTCACTCCCCTTCTTTGCTACCCCTCTGTCATGAGGGTGGCCGCAGCAACTCAGTCTGTCCGGGGGAGAGGAGCCAGGCGTTCACCCCGTGGTTTTTAGGGAGGAGGACGCTTCCCCAGCGCTCTTTTATCCGCTGAAGCTCAATGGCCATGGTTGCTTCGCAGGCCCTGTCCTTTAGAAAGCAAACCCGAGGCACCAGAGGGGCCCGGAGCACCAGGGCTGGCCCGGTCCCTGCGGGCCTGCTGCCCGGAAGCACGCAGCAGGTGGAGGAGGCGGAGATTTCGGTGATGTGCAGGCACAGAAGGTCTGGGAGAAAAATGAAACAGTAAGGTGCAGAGCAGAGCTTTGAGAAAAGGAAGTGGAGAGAGTGTGCTTGTGCATTTTATTTTATGTACGCACGTGGGAGGTGGAGCCTTCTAATGTTAGTCTGTAAGCTGGACCTTGTGTTGTCAAAATTGATGCCAAGGTCTAGAGCTGAGAACGGAGGTGTTGAGTGCCCTGCAGCTGGGTCTCTGCACCCGCGGAGGACGTCCGCTGTGCAGCCCTGGCGGGAGCGCCCTCTGCTGCCCAGCGGCCTGAGCGGAGAGGCAGTGCCCGGCACCTCCGAAGGGAGGGAAGCAAGCTACCAGAAGCCCTGGGAGAGTTCAGTGTCTGCAAGAAAGGAAGGTAGTGCAGCCAGGGAGCCAGAGGGTGGACCTGCCCCTTAGCTACTGTTGCTCGGAGGATGCAGGATGTGAATCTGGATGCGCTCTGCGCTCCAGAGTGGAGGGCCTCAGTGGGCGGGTGAGATTGGGGCTCGCAGGTCTGGCGGTGTCGCTGCAGCAGGGTGCGGGGGAGCATGTAGACTTCTTCCTCCCTTGGGAAGGATGCAGTTGAGCCTTGCAGGCGCTCTGCTGTGGGGAGCTGACCACCACCAGCCATCTGAGAGGACGGCTGTCCCTTGCTGGTGGGGACCCCTTGGGCCTGTCTCCGCTCTCCCTCCTCATCCCTGCCAGGGATGGGCATGGGGAGGAGAGGTCTCTTTTGCCCCAGGAGCTCCCCTGGATTGGCACAAGGCTTCTTGCTCAAGCTCCTCCGCACTGTCCCTTGAATGGTCCGAAGGTGCCCATGGGTGCTTCGCCAGCGCGTTGTCTTTGGTCTTTAGTCACTGTCTGCTTCCTGCTGACCGCTTGCTCCTAGCAGCTGCTGCCTTCTGGTCAGGAGCAGTGTCACCAGCCTGGCCGGGGGCGCAGTTCTGAGTCTGCACATGCGGGGCATCCTTGGTGACCCTCTGACATGGAGGACTTCAGAGTTCACAGACCCTGTATCAGGGATTTCAGTACCCCGTACCTCAGTGACTCTAGTAACTCCAGCTAGTGGGAAACTCCACTTTCTTTTCTTCTAGATGTTGTAGAAAACATAACTTACTATTTTACTTAGCAAAAACCGTAAGTAATATAGACATTATTATTCAGAACATGTAGCCAAGAGCTTCACCTTTGATACTGAAGATTCATGCCTCTGTATCTGCTTTGCCAGGGTTGGCCTGTGGCTGTAGCTTAGTGACAGAGCTATTGCCTGGCATATGCAGGGCCCTAGGTTCAATCCTCAGCACTGGGAAAATAAGTCTGTGTGTATGAGGAGCACACATACATGTATATGCATGTATAAATATTATTAGGTGGCTTTATAAATTGTAATTAGAAAATTTTTTTAGTGTTTTAAAACTTATCTACCTTATTAATAACATTTTCTTTTGTTGTTTTTCAGATACCAGAGTGAAAGGATGGTTTCTTCTAGACAATTACATACCTACATTGGTTTGCTCTATCATTTATTTACTAATTGTATGGCTGGGACCAAAATACATGAAGAATAAACAGCCGTTCTCTTGCCGGGGAATTTTAGTGGTGTATAACCTCGGGCTCACTTTGCTGTCTCTCTATATGTTCGTCGAGGTAAGTCCGACGTTGTGTGGCTTCCTCTCACTCACGGGTGCTCTCCTGCTGCCCCCGCTCACATCCCGAGGGCAGGAGAGGCAGCTGCCTGCTGCAGGGAGTGGGTTCAGACGTGGGCGGGCAAGCCTGTTAACGCATTTTGAGTATTTTTGAGATTGATTTTTCACAACACCAGAGTTGCTTATGCAAGTGTCTTCTGGAATATCTAGAGTAGATGCCTTTAGTGCTGATTCCTTTGTTATTTTTGTTTTGTGGGATAGTCAGAGCTAAGAAGTTTCCAGATGCTCTGTTGTGAGCAGGATAGAGAGGGAGATGAGCAAGTGTGGAAGAGAGCTCTGTGGCGCTAGTGGTGCCGCCGCAGGATGGCCTGCTCCCGTTGCGTGGGGAGGAAGGACGTGGGTAGGACTTGCGTTTGGTAAACTTCATGGCAGTTTGGCCTCGGTCCTGAGCTGGTAACTTGTTAGATCTCACAGGTTCTTCTTTAAAAGCTGAAGTGCGTGGATGGTAAGGTCCATGTTGAGGTTTTGAATGATCTGTGTGAGTTCACACCCAGTTATTTCTTTTACATGACTGGGATGTTGAAAGTCAGACTTGACAGTCTCAGAGGCAACTATTGTAGCTTAAATCAAAGACAAGCAGTGGGTGTGCAGCTCAGTGCTTGCCTAGCACCCGTAGGCCCTGGATTTTATCGTCCATACTGGGGGGGAAGAAGTGAAAGACATCAAAATCAGCGCTTGATCCTCCTGTTTTGCAAAGGGTAATTACCACAGCTGGTAAAACTCAGAGAAGAGAGCTGCCTTCCAGGAGTAACAATTTGTGTACATTTTTTAGGGAAGGACTCTACCCTTTTGGGGTAGCATTTCCCTGTTGCTAACTCCTCTAGGTGGAGAATTAAGCCATAAAACAAGCATGTTTGGAACGCCTGTGTAGGTTTTTGATCGTTTTTATGGCTTTAATTCTCGTAGGAGCAGCCAAAGGAGGGTTGTGGAGATCAAAAGAAGGCATGAATGTGAATCTTACAGGTAGCATTTAGAGGTGACTTCCCCCTCGGGCTCAGGCGCAGTGCGGTCTCCCTGGATGCACCCAGTGGTGTGCAGGCGTGTGTGCAGGTGTGTACCCTCGTGGACCGCACTGATCGCTGGAGGTGTGCAGCTGTAAGATCTGTGTCTCATTGTCCCACACATCCCACCTGGGCCCTCACGTTAGGGCAGTGTCACTCGAGGTGTAGACATTAGGACCAGAATGATAGATGCTTGCTAGCTTTGCACTATGCCTGATACTCCAAGAAATGCTTACAACTGCTTTTGCTTTTTGTTGTCCTATTCTAGAGTGAAGGCAGTTAATTAGCCTCCAGGATGGAGACTGATTGCAGGATGGAGGCAGGGGAAGGTGCGGGAGTGACTCCTGGTCCCGCCGGGGTACAGCTCTCAGTGCACAAGGGACAGAGCTCCAGCAACCATCAGGTTCTCCAGTGACCTGCAGCTGCCCATAACTGATAGGTGATAGAGCCATTCTGTAAGGAAGCGGCAGAGTTTGTTATGACACGAGTGTGCTAGAGAAAACATTTATGATGACTGACTCTTAGAGAATGTAAGCATTTGCCTCAATGTTTCTCAACCCTTAGAAGTAGAACTGTAACTTCATAACTTAACGTCTCCTAAGCAGATACTTCTGTGGTAAAGAAAAGAAAATTGCCGTATCGATTTTGCTGTATAAATTGCATCTGAGAGGCTTGGGGTCTGAATACCCTGCGCTACTGCAAAATACAGGTTTCCTCTGCGGAGCCGACACCAGTGGAAGCCTGAGCCACGGCGTCTGAGCACCATGGAGGTTTAAGAAATGTGCAGAGGAAGCAAACCACACTTTCAGTTCATAGTTTAGAGTACATGAAAGGTAATAGACAAGCAGGCAACCGTTCCTTATATTAAATCACATTTGTAAACTATATTAGGATATGCCTGAGTAAGCCCAGAGAGGATAATTACCTTTGACTTTTTAGCTGTTTTTATACTTACATCGACCCAGTTAGTAATGCCACTGTAGTGTGCCCTTGGTCAGCTCTTATTGTAGGTCTAGGCTTTTCTCTTCTCATTTGGCTTTTCTATTTCACTGAGTAATAAGACACAGAAGGGCAGTCACAGGGCTTTGCAACAGACCAAACTGAAGAGGGTGTGAGGCCCATGTGGGCCCTCATTTTAGGGAAATGTCACGTGAGGTGGAGCTGTGGTCATACAATTGGGCAAGGTTTTGACTGTTAGTCTTTCCTTCCTGCTTACCTACATATTTGAGTCTGCAGAGAATTTTTAAGTAAATAAGTAGTCATTGGCATTTTTGTTTATTTAATTCTGTGGCATAAATTCATAGCTGCTTTGGCAAGTTCTGCGTTGACATGAGGGAAATGGTCACTAAAGGAGACAAGGGGAGTCATGAAAGAAAAAAGATAAGTCCTTGGGGGGTCCGCCCCAACTTTGAACTAGCGGAAGGAAAACTAGAACCCTGTTTAAAACTAAAATGGTTTGAATGTAGAAGGAATATAGGTGAAAGTAGTTTATGCATCTGGTACCAAAAGAAAACACTGAAAGGGGGCGTATTTGTAGTGATCTCATGAACTTAGTATTTGAAGAACAGATACGTGATTTGAGGAATGCTTTAATAGTAGTACACTTCCGTTTGAAAGTATAGGATGTATGGCAAGCCTTTTAGCTTCTGCTGGGTGTCATGCCCGTTCATCCTTACTTTTAGAGTGGGAAGTTTACCCAGTGCTGTTGTATGTTTACATTGGGAACTTGGTTTTTGAATTGTATAGGGACTCACAGCTCAAACTTGTCTTGAGTTTTAGGACTTGGACTTTGTAGCAGTGCTGGGATTGTTGAGACTTTGGGGAAGGGATTATTATGTTTTCAGTTATACAGAGTAGTTACATTGTATCAGGCAAAATGATGACCTTCACACTGTATTTGTTTAGAGATTTGGGGTGGTTTAAGGTGTGATTAGGTATCAAGTTGACAGGGAGTGGATTTGTGCGAGTTAATCTGCATTGCCAGTCTAATTGGATTAAAGACTTGCAGAGATGTGGGAGTATTAGAGCCCGGTGCTCACGGCTGCGGGTGCTGCGCGGAAGGGGAATGTCCGGGTGTGGGGCTCTTGCTGGAGGCCCCCGTGCCTGCTTGCTCCCAGCGCCTTCTGCCAAGAGTTTTCAGCCTTGGAGCCAGACGGCCATGGCTGTGAGCCTTTGAGCTCGGTGATCCCTGCCCCGCTTTCCGCTGGCGGCGTCAGATGTTTTGTCCCAGCAGTGGAAAGCTGACTAATGCGGCGCTAGCATCACAGGCAGTGGCAGTGATTGAGAAGTGAAATTCCACATTGTAAAGAGCAACTTTGTATTAGTTATGTAGTCTTGTAAAACTTCCTATAGCAGACGTGAACATCTTGCGTGCCTTCCACCGCCCCGTTCAGAGCATACTTCCCCCCAGTGGAAGCCTGACTTTTCAGACCGTCAGTGACTTCCTCTTACCCCCCAGGAAGAGGGCCCCTCCCTCCAGGTTGGAGCTGCAGCTTTCCCTTCTCCTCGTACCTGCCTCTCGCCTGGCCTGCCCACAGCTCCGAGCCCCTTCGGAGACTGTGGGGGCACCGCTGGCCGCTGCTCGACGCTGCTGCGGACCCTGTGGACGGCCTGCCTTTCTCCTGCGCTGCCTCTGCCCTCTCTCCCCCCGCACGGAGAGGATCTGACCGCGAGCTGTGCCACCTGCACCGCCGCGTGAAGCTGCCGGGCGTGTAGGGGCAGGGCTGTGCCGCGCCGGCACTGCAGTCACCCGGAGACCCTGCGGGGAAAGGAGCGCGGCTCCTCCTCCTCGGGAGGATGCTGCTGCCCGGGCCGTCTCCTCACACCGCTCGCGCCAGGCCTTCCTTCTGGGCCTCCACTGCCAAGGGCTCCCTCGTCGGACCTGCGACCTCCTCTGGCAGGTGTCTTCCCTTGGTTTATGAGTTCTCTGCCAAGGACTCGGTGCCTCGGTGAAGTCCTCAGGGTACAAGGGAGAGCGCTTAGCTCTAGGCAGTGACTTCCTCCAGCTTGTTCGGCATCCCTGCTCCCGAGGAACAAGAGGCGCTCTCACGGACGTGCCCCCATGACTGCTGCCCGGCGCACGCCTGTAATGAGCGGTTCCTTCCATGCCTTGTTCCCATGGTTACGACGGCTGGTTACTCCGCCAGACGCATCCTGAATGTTAGGAAAGGAGAAAAGCAAGTACCAGAGCCACGTTTTTATGATACTTAACGATCCAAGATAAATCGTAGCTCACAGACAAGATTAGTCTTTGAGTTAGAACTGCATGTTGTGAAAAGTGTGAGAATTCTCTCTGACATTCATAACATAGAAAATACAATTCTGAGAAAAAGATTGGTAGCTGGATAGATGGGTCTGACTTGGTGCGACTCCAAATGTGTTTTTTATTATTCTTTGCAGTTTTTATTTCAGATTGTGATTTTGGAACTGTTTTAAAATATTTAGGGCTGGAGATGTAGCTCAGTGGCACAGCGCCTGCCTGGCAAGTGCGAGGTCCTGAATTTGATTCCTGGTACCAAAAAAATTAAAATATTTAAAACAAAAATCATAAATTACATCTGTCACTTCACAGAGTTGTTGTTTCATTGATTTTGATTTTTTTTGTTTAAAAAAGAAAACATGAGCCACATGTGGTGGTGCACACCTGTGATCCCGGCACTTGGGAGGCTGAAGCAGGAGGATCACCATGAGTTTGAGGCCAGCCTGGGCTACACAGTGAGTTCAAGGTCAGCCTGAACTGCAGAGTGAGACCCTGTCTCAAAAAAAACAAGGAAAGGAAGGAAGGAAGGAAGGAAGGAAGGAAGGAAGGACGGACGAAGGAAGGAAAGAAGGAACAGATGGGGCTGACCATGCACTCGGAGGTAGAGCGTATGCTTCTCATGCACGAGATCCGGAGTTCAGCCCCAGCACATACGTACATACTTGCATACCCATACGTACA